CTCGGTCTAGTCTCGGTCTAGTCTCGGTCTAGTCGTTGTTTAGTCCCGGTCTTGTCCTGGTTTGGTCCTGGTCCGGTCCTGGTGTAGTCCTCGCGATCGGCTCGGTGATTGTGGCGTATATATTTATTCTCCGCTCATGTTTGTGGTTCTCGTTCTGGTTCTGGGGTTTTTCTTCCTGATAACAACGTCGCTGCGTCTCTGGATACTCGTCCCTGATTGGTTGACGCTGCGCGTCTGACGCGAAAAGTTCAGCATTTTCAACTTCTTGACGCTGACGCCTTGGACGCGCGTCTTGGCCGCTGACGCCAAAACGCGCCGCAAAAACGCAGGACGCTCGTCCACATAGACTTTACATAGAAAGTGGACGCTTTGGTCTGAACGGGCCTTTAGAATAAAGTGCAATTGCACTTCCACTACATTAGGGGGCAGAGCGCTCTCATTGGCAGAGTGTGCGCAGGGAGCATTCGCTCGGTGGTGTAGGAGTTTTGTTTGCACTGAGCATGCGCGCTTTGCACACAGCACAGAGTTTGAGTACGAAGTGTAGACACGGTGTAGCAGACCCTCAAGTGACACTATGAAAAAATATTTAACAGGGATGAGAAGACAGGCGGAGAGAGACGGAGATAAAGAGACAAACGAAAATCTCCCGAAAGCTAAGACGAGGAAATATGACGAAGCGTATGTAGCGCTTGGCTTCACTGTGACTACGGTGGGAGACGAGGAAAGACCGGTGTGCTTACTGTGTCTAAAAATGTTGGCAGCGGACAGCATGAAGCCCAATAAATTAAGGCGTCACTTAAATACATTACACCCCGATCACTCTGATAAGCCGCTTGAGTTTTTTCAGCGAAAACGTGCCGAATATTGCCGACAATCATTCCGCTTGTGACTGCTACTTCAGTAAACCAGCGAGCATTGTTGGCATCATATATAAGGTGGCAGTGTTACGCAGAGGTGTACTTATAACAATTTTATAGACAAATGATACTATCTATAGTCACGCGGGGGGGCGCGAGATGTTTTATTCGTCCTAGGGGGGGCATGACAGAAAATAATTGAGAAGCACTGATCTAAACTAATGAGTTGATTCTAGGGGAACCATAAATTTTGTCCAGCCCAGTTTTTTTTTTTTTTTTCTTTTTCTTTTTATAATTCTGTTGAACAACAATTCAAAAACAGTGTCTGAATTTTTTTGGTTATTTGTCAGGAAATTTTTAATTATTATTGCTGTAGAAACTGTACTTGCTTTATTTACAGCACTGTAGGATTTATGATATATATATATATATATATATATATATATATATATATATATATATATATATATATATATATATATATATATATATATATATATATATATATAAATGTGTGTTTCTCACCTTCCACGGTGGTAGGTCTCTCACCCTCATTCAGCTCGGGTCCTCTACTAGAGGCCTGGGAGCTTGAGAGTTCTGCGCAGTATCTTTGCTGTTCCTAGTACTGCACCTTTCTGGACTGAGATGTCCGTTGTTTTTCCCGGTATCTGTTGTAGTCTCTTCCAGTTTGGGGGTTACAGCCCCGAGTGCGCCGATCACCACAGGCACCACTGATGCCTTTACTTTCCAGGCTCTCTCCAGCTCCTCCTTGAGCCCCTGGTATTTCTCTAGTTTCTCGTGTTCCTTTTTCCTGATATTACCATCGCTTGGTATTGTGATGTCCACCACCACGGCTCTGCTCTGTTTCTTATCCACCACCACTATGTCTGGTTGGTTCATCACCATCCTGTCAGTCTGTATCTGGAAGTCCCACAGGATCTTGGCTCGGTCATTCTCCACAACCTTTGGAGGTGTTTCCCACCTTGATCCTGGGGGCCTCCAGCCTGTACTCTGCACAGATGCCACTTGGTTATGTCGCTCCATGTTTGTTCTCTGCCAGCATCTTACACCCTGCAGTTATGTGCTGGACTGTCTCAGGAGCCTCTTTGCACAGTCTTACACCATGGGTCTTGTCTGGTGTGGTAGATCTGGGCCTCTATTGCTCGAGTTCCCAGGGCCTGCTCCTGAGCAGCCAGGATCAGTGCCTCTGTGTGTCCTTCAGACCAGCCCTCTCAAGCCATTAGTAGATTTCTTGATATCAGCCACTTCAGTTCTGTTCCGGTGGTTCGCCCCATGTAGGGGTTTGTCCTGCCATGATGGTCCCACCAGCACCTCTTCCTCTGGACCCCACTGTCTGAGACATTCTCTGAGCGCATCATCTGTCGGGGCCTTGTCCTTGATGTACTCAAGGAGCTTGGATGTTTCATCCTGGACAGTGGTTCCCACACTCACTAGTCCTCGGCCTCCTTCCTTCCGGCTTGCGTACAGTCTCAGGGTGCTGGATTTGAGATGGAACCCTCCATGCATGGTCAGGAGCTTTCATGTCTTAACATCTGTGGTCTGTATCTCCTCCTTTGGCTTACAATTCCTGCAGGGAATCTGATCACTGGCAGGGCGTAGCTGTTGATTGCCTGCACCTTATTCTTGCCATTGAGCTGGCTTCTTATGACTTGCCTCACTCTTTGCAGGTATTTGGCCGTATATATATATATATATATATATATTATATATATATAGTGTTTATATTTTGTACATGTACAGAATACTGTATGCATTTTCTTTTTATGTACTCTGATGTGTGGAAGTGACTTTATATGTGTGAATAAAATGGTTAGAGTTTCCTAGAGAGCAGCGTGTGTGATGTCAAACTTTGGAGGTGCCTCTTACTCCTTTTTTTTGTTTGTTTGTTTGTGTTGTGTTAGTTCAACCTCTGCTGTAGTGACAAAACATCGAAACATTTTGAGCTGCAGCGCTGACACAAGGTCAAAGGGACGATGCATTTTGGGGGCAATGACTATTTCTCCGAGGAAGGAATGTAGTTTTGACACATGGGTAAAGTGTTTTGGGAGAGATGTGAGCTTCTGCAGGTGATCCATGGTGTTGTGCTGAACCATCAAGGTTATTTTGACAAAAGAACTAAGTGAATGCGAAAGAGCCAAAGCAAATGAGAAGGATCTTTGCAATTTTGATGGCACTGACTCTTTATATGAGAAAGGACTCTGCTTTCAAGCATGTGTGAACAGTTTTGGGAGAGATCTGAGCTTTTGCTGGTGAGGTGTAATGTTGTGCAGAATTATCAGACTGTTTGGCCAATTGATCTTATAGTTTTAAGAATGTCATTTCTGTTTCAAGAAATGAGTCAAACTAACAGAGAAAAACTGTAATAGATCCACCGCGTCATCAGAGCTCCGCCAAGTGGTGTTCCAAAGTCCTCACGTCCTCCGCGCTCGATTTCTCCGTTTGACTTTTTTACCAAGGATGCACGGGAGGATCCTTGGCCACCTCAGAGTGCCTGAAATGGCCCACAGTGCACTGCAACTTTAATTTTTTTACATAATTTTATGTAAGCAGTAAAATGCATTTTAATAAAATTAAATTCTACAATTAAAAAAAAATTTTTTTTAAACTCAAGGTTTTATCGCGTTTGATCTGGTCACGTGACACGGCGCAGTCGCTCCCTCCAGAGCCTGTTCTACGTGTGCCATTTTTTCAGCTGCCTTTCAAATGTGTCATATTACATGGTGTCCCAAAGAATAAATAATTTGCATAAGACTGAGCGCAGTAGTGGAGATGATGCGCTTGATGCAGTGCGTTTTCTGGTAGTTGTAGTTTTGACCGAACAGCTGTTGTCATGTTGGGAGAACCTCGCTTTTAGCTAAAAGCAGTGACAGCTCTTCCTCCTCTCTGCTCCTTCCTCCTCCTTGTTCCTTTTGGTTGACCTCATGACGTAGCTTTCAGAGGTCAGCGAAAAGGAGAAGGACGAACAAGGAAGGAGGTATTTTTGTCCATTTTCGGATGGAGCCCAGGAAAAGGAAGCGAGGAAAGAGATTTGAGATTTGAGATGCGGCCAAAAGGTGACTACACATAGAACTTCCGCCGAACGCAAAGGGCTGTGATTGGTTGAACCACAAAGACTACTGATTAAAGCAGCTTGGAAAAGTAAATATTTGACACAGAAATGTTTGCACACGGACCTAATATGATTGTTTATTGTCACCGTAAATAAAAACAAACAAACAAACAAAAATTAACTGAAATAATTTTTGGAATTGTTTGGGTTCCCTCGATACAGCTAGGCCCTGATGAGCTCCGCAGAAGCGCGTATGATCACGTCAGGACGTCAGCTCCCAGCTGAGCGGGGCCCTACACAGAACTATATAACTATATAATAATATAATAATAATAATAATAATAATAATAATAATAATAATTTGCTCAAATTCAATTTGGATTTGAACACATTGTGCCCCCCCCCCCCCCGCCAAGTTCTCTGTCTCATAAAATACTTTCATTCAGTCAATTGGGAAACACTCTATGTGTAACCAAGGAAAAAACATTTTTTTTTTTTTTTTTATTTCACCAAATCCTTCACTTTAATTAAATTTCCATTGTTATTTCGTGGTTTTAGGCAGGTTTTAGCCTCTTTCCCAATGTTATTATTAGTAGTTAGTAAGAGTTGCACATTTTGCCTGTACTGTCCCTTTAAGAGAAACGTGGTTCACGTGCTGCACATCTGCACGTCTCTCAGTCTGTACGATGCTGCTGAGGAGGTGAGCACAAGTTTTTTTTGTCGATGCCAATTCATTATTTTATTTTGGTAATTAGGCACTAAAAAATATAAAAGTTCATTGTAAACATAATTACTGATCATCTACAAATCCACATGTACAAGTTGGACCATGTAGGAGCGGTCTCATGTCTATTGTTAAAATGTTTAGAAACATGTCAAATGCATGCGCAGTCTGTACAGTGCTACTGAGGAGGGGACTGATGAGCTGCGTGCATGGAGAAACATGTGACAAGGACTTGTATTTTTCTTTCATTTGTGCAGAACCACCAGTAAATGTGGTATCCAGTATCCAGTGGTCACCAGTGTCTCATGGTCCTTCCTTCAGCCAGCGCAGTACACAGGAACACAACGCAGATATAACTAAGGGTTAACGGATGTGCACCAAGACATTAGACTGTTAATGATCAGACACACACCCGTTACATATGCATACAATTTATTATCAGATTTTCTATTAGTGACACAAGACCTAAGAAGCTATAGGCCTGTTAGATTGTTTAATCGTCTTCTAAACAGGAGCGGGGGCCGTACAGCCATGCGCACACAAGGCCGGGTGTCTCTTATTGGTTCGTTTTTCTTAGTGGGCGGACATTAGCGCTGAGGAATCCAGGAGAGTTGAAGAGTTGGGATTAGGACGATGACCAGTGTTTGGCGATTTCTGCGCACATTTTCGCGCCAAGGGCCCAGGGCGCACTGCAGAGGAGAGGGAGCGGGCGGGCACACCGGTGAGCGCCGCCTTCTTCCGCGTTACTTCCGATATCTCCAGTAAAACTTTTTATAACAGTCCGTTTTCGCTTTCGGGCTAATCTCTTTAACACAGGCTTCCTCTCAATGACCCCCAAAGGTTTGTAAGACTGTAACATTTGACGAGTGCCTCCAGGCCCATGGCAGACGAGCGTAAAGAAGAAGACGGGAGACGGACAGACGCGGAGCCTCAAGGAGCCGAGGGTGGGGAAGGTATGTGAGCCATGTCGGCCCATACTGCAGCCAAGAACGGCTTTTAGAAAGGGCAACAACAGACAAAGGCAACAAAGTGTGATCTAATTAATCCCAATGCAGAAGGTTTTGCTGGCACGCACGGTTCGCAACTTGACGTTGCGCTGGCTGTCAAAAAAGAACACGATGTTATTTCCAGTGGCTGATTCTACTTAGAATATAGAAGTATAGAGTTGACTACTGCAGCCGTCTCCAGGTGAGACTCTCTGTAAACTCGAATGGTCAGCTCCAGTGACCAAAGAGCGTAAGACTCACCCCACAGAACTGTGCACGGACCTGTGGTTTAATGACCGTGTAACAACCATAAATGCAGTACCATGTGATTATAGATAGGCCTCACTAATAATGTGGCTCCAGCTACTCATCAACAGGCTGTTAGCACTAAGGCTGAGATCATTAGACTGTACATGTTCACTGATAAAAGGAATACATGAATGAGCCACAGTGCCTAAGTTTACATGCAAACAAAACACACAAAAAAAACTTCAAATACAAAATCTGCTTATGATTTTGCTGTTTAAATATCATTATACCATTCTATTGGCCTATAACTTCAAATATGTGATATGTGTCACCACAGCTGCTGTCTCTGCTGGACTAAGGCTGCTGGTAAATAACAGTGAGGTCTTGCAAGCTCAGTTCTTATAATTAATGATTGTTTGAAAGAGGTTGTGGAGTTTGTTGTTGTATTTCTTATGTCGTAGTAATGTCATGATTTCAAACCTGATTGTGATACTAAGGAATATGTTTGATACCAATTCCTGTACCACAATGATAATAAAACAAACAAATCCAAAATAAATAAATAAATGAACTGCAATTTTCAATGTTGAATCATAATACTTACCTTTCTGTTCCCATGTGCCTTATATGTGTGTGATCCTCAGTGCAGTAGGTTCATAGTGTCCATGTGTGTATATTTTATGAGCTCTTCTACTTGTTCTGATACAGATCAACATCATTCTAAAGTGATTCAGGAAAGGTTCATGTCTGTCCTTAGAATGTGACTTTTTTTTACTATCAGTACCTGTTCAAGTGTCTAGTCTTGATACCAATTTAATTTAAACTTTGATACTTTAGACAACCCTAACCTCTTCATGAGAGTTTCTCATGTCTCATCTTGATCTTTCCAGATGTTGTGGATGACCCCATTTTGGAGCAGGGAGCAGTGGTTCTCAGAGGGTATGTTTTCACTAGCTTCTCCTAGATTCTTTGCCCTCCTGTCCTACCCTGCCCTACCTCTGTGTCCTCTATCCTACCTCTGTGTCTTCTATCCTACCTCTGTGTCTTCTATTCTACCTCTGTGTCTTCTATCCTGCCTCTGTGTCTTCTATTCTACCTCTGTGTCTTCTATTCTGCCTCTGTGTCTTCTATCCTACCTCTGTGTCTTCTATTCTACCTCTGTCCTATTCTGCCTCTGTGTCTTCTATCCTACCTCTGTGTCTTCTATCCTACCTCTGTGTCTTCTATTCTACCTCTGTGTCTTCTATTCTGCCTCTGTGTCCTCTATCCTACCTCTGTGTCTTCTATTCTACCTCTGTGTCCTCTATTCTACCTCTGTGTCTTCTACCTCTGTGTCTTCTATTCTACCTCTGTGTCTTCTATTCTACCTCTGTGTCTTCTATTCTACCTCCGTGTCCTCTATCCTACCTCTGTGTTTTCTATCCTACCTCTGTGTCCTCTATCCTACCTCTGTGTCCTCTATCCTACCTCTGTGTCTTCTATCCTACCTCTGTGTTTTCTATCCTACCTCTGTGTCTTCTATCCTACCTCTGTGTCTTCTATTCTACCTCTGTGTCTTCTTTCATTAGCCTACATAGATCATCTCTGTGTGCTCTTCTCAGTCTGATTTGATTTAATATTAGGGATGGGCCTGATTAGTCATTTAATTGATAATTGATCATTAAGAAATTTGTCGATTATGTAAAGTTTTTATCGACAAACTGAATGTAGGTTGTCCATTTTCCACGTCCTGTCCTGGCCGTCCAGTTTTTGTTTTTTTTTATAAAGTGATGCAAATGTTCAGGTTTTCATTTCCTTTCATTGGGTCATTAAACTGAGTGTCTTTCGTAGCTCTCTGTGCGCTCAGAAGGAGCGAGCAGACACAGACAGTCAGTCAGCCTGCAGCACGCTGAAGAACAAATGCGCATTTAACCATGACTTGTACCAGAAATTCCCCGCTTTTTGTCCCGGTCGAAACAAATGGGAGGCCATGTGCACAGTGTACAAAGCAGGCACAGATGTTTCGGTGTCCAGTGGGGGTGCCAGGGATCCCAAAGCACCGGGACACCGAAAAACACGAAAAAGCTTTGCCAGGGGAGTTGCTCAATGTCGATGACAAGGCCCCAACTCCCACCACCCGTACGGTGTCCCGGGTTTGACAAATGCAGACATGGTCACCCTGTCCTATATTCCACTGAGTCGTGTCCTTTAGTCCGACAGAAGTTGAACCACATCAGCGCACAAGAGCTGTTTTTTTCTTCACTTAGTTTATGCAAATTAGCCATGAGGTTTTAAGTTTTGTTTCTGTTAGACTTGCGCAAATCTGCATTAAACACATTCTAATGTCAAACAGGCTGATGTGGCTCTAGAGTGATTATGTTTATATGTCGTAAAGTTGAAGTTATTTATGCAGATTAGTAGTAATAATAATAATGATCATTTTAATATAAAAACATGAATGATTAATCGATAATCGATCGTTAATTCTCCCGACGATCGATTAATTAACTTTCATTGAATGCCCATCCCTGCTTAATATTTCAAAAGTTTATTATGAAGTAGTTTGATTATGCTTTTGTTTTATCTGAAATTTGTATTAGTTCACATTTCAGTTTTTTTTTTTTTTTTTTTTTTCAGTTCTTCTAGTTGTGTCTAAAGAGGGGATAATATGCAAAATGTACTTTTTGGAGTTTTCATTTCATTTCATTTGCAACATACAACATGCACACAGACATAAGACAGGACAATACAATACAAATGCATCCACTGCTACAGCAGTCAAGGTGTAAAGTGTGTGCATATGCGTGTGTGTGTGTAAGAGTGTGTATGTATGAGTAAGAGTGTGAGGCTTCAGCATCAGTAAATATAACTGACTAAATGTGTATAGTTATGTAGAGATTCTTAACAGTGTATTAGAGGGATCAGCCGTTGAGAACAATGACAACTGTGGAAATAACAGTCCATATGCCACTCTGTGTAGTTACAAGTGGGAAGAGGAAGAGGTGGGGGAACCTAGTTATCTATGTTAATGAGTTTTTCAGATTGGTGTTTAGGCTTCCCATTTTTTCATGTGCCCAAAAAAAACAAAATACAAACTTACCTTAAATGACATTGTAAGATTTTTTTTTTTTTCAATGTGCAGTTGTACATGTATGCCTAGCTTTGTGAGGTGCATTCAAAATAGTGAGGTGCATTAAAGACAGGTGGTGCATTTAAAAATATATATATATTTGGGTGCATGATGTGTGGGATAGGTCCTTATTTTGTCAAATTTGACTTTTTGGAGATTTGCAATTCTCTCCCGAGCCCTAGTTGAACTCTCCTTATGGTTAGCTGTAAGATTCAGTTCAAAGCTCAGCCCACAAGTCCATGCTCAGTCGTTTTCCTCAATAAGCATAATAAGCAATAATAAAGCAGGATAGAAAATGATACACTACAACTTCACAAACCTGAGGTCATGTGTAGTAGTTTCATTTGCAGGATGTACTCTGTGTTGTAATAGTGCACTGAAGGTGTAGTGACTTAGTGCAGAGAGCAAAAGGAGAGGGTAGTTACAGTAAATAAAGGCAACATGGTGATCTGTGTTATGTTGGCAGTTATAGGCACTGGCCATACCGGCTTGTCAAAGCCTGATCTTGTCAGATCTCAGAAGCTAAGCAGGACTGGGCCTGGTCAGTACTTGGATGGAGACCACTGGGAAAATCAGGTGCCACAGGAGGCGCCAGTCGCAAAGAATTGTTGTGTTGTTGTGTCCTTAGGCAAGACACTTCACCCACATTGCCTAGTTTGAAAGTGGTGGGTGCGTGAGTGATGGTGGTGGTCAGAGGGACCGATGGCGCTGCATTGACTATTACAGGTGAATGATATGAGCTAGTAAATGTACTGTTTAGCTGTTTAGCTTCTGTTCTTTGATTATGCTATTTTCTAATTCAGATGTTTATTTTCTGCTTTAGTTGTTTGGAAAGTGATTAGTGATTTGGAGAGGAGCCTTGTGGGTGCTGAGACTGGAGTGCTAGTATCCATGTGCGGATGGTTCACAAGCTGCAGCAGTCTTGTGGTTAGAGCCAGAGCCCAGCGAGGGTCTAACACTGGGAAAGCCCCGGTCCCGGGGACAGATAAGCTCTGACTGACTCCGTGACGCGTGTGTATGTTTACATTGTGAACTACAGCGGCCCATTACTACACTTTTGTTTTACTCCATTATTTAACTTAGCAGAAAATGCTAAACAGTGAATATGTTGTATGTGTTGTCATTATTGTTTGGAAATGCACAGTTTATGGGTATTGATTTTGTCACGTTATTATAATTGTAATATACCCCACCTCAGAACAGAAGGGCACTGCCTACATTGGCTTTTAGCACATTGTTACAATTATATTTGCACATTATACAAATGACTATATTGATTAGTGGATTAGATGGTTCTGATGAACATTGTACATGTTAAAGGTAAAGCAAGGTCTAACTATGATCTTGTTTGTACAGGCCTCCTGCATCACACTCCTGGTTCTCCTACAGCAGGACCTACTCATCCACAAACACTCAGCTGAAAAAAAACAAAAAAACACCTTTTACTGGATCAAATCAAACTTGAATAATGTCTTAATAATAATAATCCCTCTTAACCTCATGTTTCTAAGAACCTATTGCTATTTATTGACAAACTATTTTGCAGTTGCTATAAAATTAATGTTTTCCATGATAAACTTTGTTAAGCGCAGGTTTGCAATGTAAAACAATACAAGCTTTCACACACATGTATTTTTATTAGCATTTGGACATCCTCCAAATAACTGAAATTCTAGAAGGTACATTTGGATGGACTAATGTGTATGGTTGAAATAGAGTAAATGAATGTACATTTTGGGTTACATTAAAGCCAGTGCACCAAACCTTACTGAACTTTAGCCATTGTAGTTTCTGTAGTGTTGGGTCTGAGGTAGGCGGCGCACAGGCTCAGCCCTCATCAGTGTCGTCAGCAGAGGACAAATGTGAACACAGAATAATACTTTGTAGAGCTGCGTTGAGCTTCTTATGTGCAACCTACAACAATATTCTGGCATACCTTTCAAAAGAAATGATGATGAGGAAAATAATGTATATATGCTGATTTATATTGTCATAAGCAATATGTGTAGAACACAAACACACATTGACTGAACTGGGGCAGCATGTAATGTACCACCAGCAATGCATTTTCAATCACTCCCAATGCCATCTTCTGGACTCAGGTTACCCAGAATAGCTATTCCAAGACCAACAACACAAACCTCCAACTAATTCAGTACAAGATCCTACACAGAACCCACTACACTGGTCACAGGTGTGGATGCGCAGTGCCACAGGGCATTCTGGCACTGCGCATCCACACAACTGTTCTGGGAAAAGGTTCTAACATCTCTGTCCAGATTCATGGTCAGTCACATCCCATTATGCCTCTTATGCTTACTCGGCGACATTTCTCAACTCAACATACCTGGTCCCAACAACAAAATACTTGAATTGGAAAACCAGGAAAGGTATAAAAATTAAACACTGAAAAATCTACTCATGGATCATATCTCAACGGAATCTCTCCAAAATATCAATAATCAATCACTGATGGAACCCTTCTCTGTCTGGACTCTACTAATGTTATTTTTACAAACTACCAAAACAAAAAATCCTCCCATCATTTTTTTTTTCTTTTCTTTTCTTTTTTTCCTCTCCCTTCTCCCTAGAAATGACATTAGCCCACATACATAAATCATCTAGTTCCATGGGGGTTTGTTTGTTGCTCTTGGGGAGCTAATGGGGCTGAGGAATATTAATAAACCCAGTAAACTACATGAATAAATAAATTAATTACAAAAACATGTATAAGATAATAACAAATAAAATGCATAATAATAAAATAATGATAATCAAAAAATCTATTTTGGCAAAATAAGGGCCTGTCCCATTTCTCATGAGCTCAAATCTTTTTTTAGTGCACCTAACACAACTAGGCACATATGCACAACTGCACATTGGGGGAAAAAAAAAAAAAAGTGTAAAAGTAAGGTTTTTTTGGGCACATGAAAAAAATAGGAGGCTTAAACACCAATCTGAAAAACTCATTAACATACATAACTAGGTTCCCCCTCCTCTTCCTCTTCCCAGACTGGCATAGGGACTGTTATTTCCACAGTTGTCATTGTTCTCAACATTGAGCTTATCCCTACAATTAACAAAAAAAAAGGGAAAAGTTTCAGCAGCAAAATAACACCTGCTTCACAGTCTACATAGCTGAAGTAGACATTTAAGCCACAAAAGGAACACTTGACAATTCCAATAGTGGAATGATCCACCTGAAACAGACAATCATTGGTTAGTACTTAGAAATCCTCTCCAATACCTTTAATACTTAATGTAAGTTTAATACTCAATCTTTAAAATGTTTAAAATCTTTGAACAATTATTAGTATAATAATAGTAGTAGTAGTAGTAGTAGTAGTAGTAGTAGTAGTAGTAGTAGTAAACCATAAAAAATCAAAAATCACAATGTTTTTCAGAAAATTTGCAATGAGATATTTTTCCAAATCAACCCTGCTGTATATTTTCCATATTTTAGAGAGTGCTTGAACTGTTTGTGTGTGTGTTGTGTGCAGGTATGTGTTGGAGCGGATAAACACTGGGGACCTTGAACGTCACATCTCCTCGGAGGACCTGGGGGGGAGGCCTCATGAGCAGGAGGAGCACAACGTGAAACAAGTGGTGGAGCAACTCATTCGGATCGCCGACGAGATCAACCGCAACGCCGAGCTTCAGCGGTGAGCCTGAGTGGTTAGCAGAGTGGATATTTAGGAGCAAAGAAGATGAACAGGAAAGCAAAAATGTCCAGTCCTTTAGTGACTTGCCAAGCTACACTGTCAAAAAGATGACAACTAAGGAACAGTATGTAACTTTAAGAGGTGTCACCTGCATGACTCCATGGAAATAAAAAGTTCAGAATGTTCTCTCTCTCTCTCGCTCTCTCTTTCTCTCTCTCTCTCTAAATATATATAGGCTTTCTGAAATGAGTGACAAAAAATACAGATCTTTTTCATGATATTTTTTTTAGAAACACTTGTTATTAATTACATTAACATATTTTGTATGATCTTGACAATACATATTCTGTGTAGCTCCATTTATCAGAATAATTCTCCTGTAATTTCCTGTAGACTGATCAACCAAGTGGAGGGTAACTGTGCTCAGGACATTTTCATGGCAGTGGCCCAGAGCATCTTTGCTGACGGCATCAACTGGGGCCGAATCGTGGCTCTGTTTCACTTGGCCTACAAGCTCATCTACAGGGTACTGCATCTACTCTGCCTGCTCACCCAAAACCACTGCTCTCTGCTTTAAAGAGGGGATATTATGCAGAAGATTATCATTTTTTGAGCTTTCTATCCCATAATATTGTTCTTCCATCAAAAACATGCCAGAGGTTTTAGATGTCATTCATGCATGCTTTTTTAGCAATCTCTCCCAGCCCCTAACCTTACAGTTAACTCTAAGATTCTGTACAGGGTCATTCCACCTCAATTCACCCTAAAAAAATTGCAATTTGAACCCTCACATTGTCCAACTGCAAAGAAGTAAGTCACAGCCAAGAAAGCCAAAATCTCAAATTTTAGCATGATTGGAGAAGCGATTATTGAGATGTCACAATAAAATTTTTTCACTGTTTTTGCATGGTCGCCGAACTTCAAATTGCATTTAGTCAACTACTGGTCTGATATCAAAAACCAAGTTATCTCTGGAAATGGGAAATCATAAGGAACCAAAATCTTAATAATTTGTTTTTGAATTTGACTTCTTTTGAGATGAATTACTTTTTGACCTATATTTACCTGGTCCCCGAAGGGTTGACCCGGTTTTGTATTCACCCTGTGTCAGTGTGTCTGTCCAATTGTCACCAAATTTGGTAGGTGGGTCAAGCCCCCGTGCCTGATGCCGCAAAAAAGTTTGGTGAAGATCCGAGGCCATTATAAAGGATCAGCAATTTCAGCAATTTCTGGACCATCTGCAGGCTAAAATATTCACCCAGTCATCACACAAGTTGGCACACACATAACCGGAGTACACTGGATTCAGTGTATGCCATTAAAATTCTAATTGGAAAAAAAATAATTACCATTTCCTGTTTTTCTGGTGACACACAACACAGTGATCTACAGTCACACAACTAACACATACACAACTCATGAAAAATGACATTTTGGTTCCACCCTAGTAAACAGACATTCTCATGTGTGACTAATATCACACAAATGTTCATGGGCCTGTACAGATACACACATTACATTTTGGATATAACGATCATGTAATATGGACTGGGCTCCTCATAAACTGTTTCTGTGGTGATGAACTGACCCACTGATGCCTCATGGGGACCAGGTTGCTGTCTCTGAATGCACTTGTTTGACCTTGAAATTGACAATAAGGGACACGCCCGACCTCAATGACACCAATAGAAAAAATTTAGCCCTATCTACCTACCACAACATATAAAACATCTGGCGGGGTTTTCCTTTTTATTTTTACACACATTTACCTAGAATTTGACTTACCCTCATCCTTAAGACATGCCAAATATCCATTCAGTGTGTACAGCTGACAGTCAAGTGAACATTACAGTACCATCGTTTTGTCCCTGTCTCCCTGACACAGATGCATGTCTACAAACTCAGTGAACTGTGTTTATCACACAGTGTATGTCTGAATCAGGTTAGGGCTAACCCAACATGAATCAAGAAACACTCCTTTCTTGAAATCATCTTTGACAAGAAACTTCAGGATTTCGCCTAATGTCAAGTCCATGTCCACTGTTTGAACTGGCCTGAATATTCTGATTTCCTGAAACTAAGACATTTGTGAAATGTGTGAAGTGTGATTGACAATTTTTTCTTAGAGTATGTCAACTTGGACTGTGTGTATAAGTGTACAGCTGTACACACTGAATGGATATTTGTCATGTCTTAAGATGGGGGTAAGTCAACTTATAGGTAAATTTGTGTGAAAATAAAAAAAGAAAGCCCCTCCAGATGTTTTATACGTTGTAGTAGATATATAGTGCTATTTTTTTTTCTATTGGTGTCACTGAGGTAGGCTGTGTCCTTTATTGTCAATTTCAAGGTCAAATATAGGTCAAAAGGTCATTCATCTCAAAAGTACTCAAATGCGACAATGTCAAATACCAGATTTGGATTCCTTATGATTTCCCCTTTCCAGAGATTCCTTGGGTTTTGATATCAGACCAGTAGTTGCTGAGTAAATGCAATTTGAAATTCGTCGACCACGCAAAAATGAAAAAAATGAAATTGTGATATCTTGGAAACCGTTGGTCCAATCAAACTAAAATTTGATTTTTTTTCTGGCTATGATTTACCAATATACCAGTTTCATCAAAATTTGAAAAAGTAGGATTTAACTGATTGGGTGAACTGAGGTGACCGTACCACATGCCTACATCACCCATTCTCCCACAAGACAATTCTACAGAAATATACAAAAGCATAATACAACTGTAACTTGACAAACCTGATAAACAGCAGCTTGACAAAACTGATGCGATGTGCAGAATTCACACTGATTGTGTTTTGTTATCTATTGCTCTGAAGGGGGAATGACTTAATGTGGGGGGCAAATGGATGGGCGACTCAGCATCAAAAGCAAAACTTAAAAACTTATTAAACATAATACTATGTTGTTTTCAGTGAATATAGCATTTTCAAAACAATAAAAGGTAACATGGTGATCTAAACATGTTAGCATCACATCACATGTTAGCAGTTATTATCCCATAGAAGTGAAATACACCTTACAAATCAAAGGGTGTATTAGAAGTTAAATACAAATATTTCATATTTGAAAACATATTTGCACTGTCAAGCATGTGGAGGAAGAATAGATGCATTATATTTTTGCTTGACAAGCCACTCTATCGTTTTATAATACAGAAGAATCTTGAAGCAGGCCATAGAGCACATGATTTAGCTGTCCTAATTTAAGACCTCTCCTCTCAAATATGCCCATATCACTGAAATGTAAAGAGGAGGTATTATGCTAAACTGAAGGAACTGTGAAAATTAAACTATTTTTATAAAGACTCCCACACACTGTCAATCGTGGTTCACTTTTACTGGTACAAAGTTTGGGTCCCTCTCACCTTCTTCAGGTGTGGGGACAGCCCCCTCCACTCTCCTTACAGTTAAGGGACTGCCCCCTTAAGGGCAATCAACCAATCACAACAGTGAAAAAATACATTCATAACTAGAGCCCCAGTGTATCTACAATATTCACTTTACATCAGTGTCTCACATCATCTTTGAGCTGATTGAAAGGAGCAGTGCAGCATGAGTAGACGTGCATGTACCATGGTCCAAACCCACTGAAGTGGGCACAAAAGTGCAGTAAGACCCAGACCTCAGGTTGCTGTTCATTTGAATCAGCTGACACATGACATGTCTTCTCTTCGATTCTGTGGGATCACACAGGTGCCTGCCCTACCAGTGGAGAGCCACCAGGAGCATGTTTTAAAAAGACATGAAGCCTCTTGGGTTTTTACTTCACAAACTGTTAGCCCAAAAGGAATAAATGATGAATTGTTTAAAGTAATGTTATGAAGAACCTCCCTCTGAGCCACAAGGGAGGTTCACGTAAACTCCTTCATGTGCCTCTTATTTTGCAAAAAAAAAAAAGGTCAGAATAAATGAAATGCCATTCTTACTTTTTCAAATGTTGATAATGATCTTTTATATGATATTTTTCAGATGTATTAGTCATGTGTTTTAACACAAGAGACAGAGTGTCTCACAGTACTGCAGTTAAATTGGGGCTCTAACTGTGATGTATGTATTTTTTTCATTGTTGTGAAGGGTTGAGTATTCTTTAACTTATATGGAGTGAAATACCTCATACCTAAGGAGCCTGTTGCCCACTCAGTGTGCAGTGACTACACAAAAATAAGTTTGGAAATGTGAATGTCTTGTCTAAGGCTCAGCCCACAAGCTTATGTAACCAAGAAGAATGCCATATATGAAACTGAAACTAATTAAACTTTTTAAAACATGTGAATATTGCATTTTCCAAACAATAAAAAGTAACATAGTGATCTAAATATAATGATCTGTTAGCAATGAATTCCTTAAGTGTAATACCCCCTCTTAAATCCTGTGTGCTGTAATATTTGCTTTCGTTTCCAGGCAATAACCACAAATCACATTGAGAACATCAGACTAGTCATCAGCTGGGTGCTTCAAGTGATCAAAGACCAGCTGTACTCATGGATAGTCCAGCAGGGAGGCTGGGTAAGTACTCGGGGTTAACAGGGAGGCTAGGTGAGTACCATAGACTGTATATATACATGGAAAGAGCTAACTCGATAGCTGCCACGCTCCAAATAGGAAGTGAGCATGGGCTCACATTGACTCTCGCTCCGATTGATTTTACATTTGCCACCCCTTTGTAATGCTGCCGTGAGCCTCCTCATTTTGGTCTTTAAAGCTGCTCTACATGAATCTGGTATTTTAATTTCACTATTTTGTCCATAAATAAATTTCTATTCTGAAAATGTAACTAGGCTCCAAATTCACCCCTACAACAGCTAGCCTCATAAGCTTCATTTGACTGGAGCTGAACGCTGTGGGTGACGGTGACTTTATGCAGTCTATGTGAGTACTAGCGGATAGGTAGGAAGCATCGACTGCATATGAAAGTGGAGTGGGGAAGTGTGACGTCATCGGTAGCATACTTTCATTTACTGACAAGTGGGCAAAATAAAAACCCAGGATCATCAGGAGCCTGACAACAGCCTGACAGAAAACATGCCTGGTGTTATGTTTTGTTTCAGTCATGCATGTCTGAATAATCCTACATTCTCTACATCTCTAAAGCTCAAAATGCTCTATTCCACTGTGTGATGTCATCTAGTGGTAGTTTTAAGGCTAACAGCTATTATCAACCTCAATTAAACTGTGTTAATTTAGAATAAATGACATTTTTTGCTTTTTGCTTATTTGTGTTTTATTTTTCGTACAGTTGAGATTGAGGCTAAACCTGTAGCTGTAACTCAGGGGTGTCAAACTCATTTTGGTCCAGGGGCTGTATCCAACCTACTTTGATCCCAAAGGGGCCAGAAAAAAAATAATGTCATATAAACCCCAAAATAGCAATAAGTTCAAATATGTATGCAGAGAAATGCAAATTTTTTACAGAAATCTTTTTTAAACAATGAACTCTTTCTTTTACAAAATATTATAATATTATGAACAACCTGAAACTTTAAGAAAAATTTAATTTCAGCACAATGTTTTAACATGAACTTGTATGTAAATAGGAATAAGTAAATTTTTCTTGGAAAATCCTGCACTCGGCTTCACTTTTATCATGTTGGACATTTTGTTGATGAGGGTGTCACAGTCAACAGTCAAAACGATCGTCCTTTAAGAGCGTTTGGAAAGAGACAAGTCTTCATTTGTGCTGCTCTGGTGGGAGGGGCCACGTACAGAGACACTGGAGACGCTGCTGTGCTTAGCACTGCAGAAAATTACCAATATTTTACCGAGAGCCAGATTAAAGGAGGGCCGGATCTGGCCCCTAGGCCATATGTTTGACACGCCTGCTGTAACTTCATAGTTCTGCAAACCTGGGGTTGAAATGACTAGTTCTAGCGACTTTGTATAGAGTTTTAACACAGTGAAAATTTCCTGTATAATCACTTAATGACATCACAACGTGTTCCACAGTTCGAGAAAAGAACTCAGCCTAAATATGCAGGATTTGAATGTTGAACATGTTAAAATGAAACAAAACAAAACTCCCAAGTATATTTGTGAGAAGGACAGAACATTATATCATAGATCAGAAATATTGTAATATTGGCCCTTTAAATATGTTGGCTCTTGTAGAACTCACGTGTGTGTGTGTGTGTGTTGTAGGAGGGGGTTATCCGGCGTTTCACTCGGTGGAGGACAGTAGCCATCGTAGCATCCATAGCATTAGTGGCCTCTTTGGTTTACTACAGGAAAACCCGCTGACATCCGGACCTCACCAAGCACAACAGCCACTCCTGCTTTCCTGGACTAACATGGATTATGTTTAAAGACTGCAAACCACTGCTCAAAAGATTTAAAAAACACTGTATGACTCACTGCAGTATGATGCCTCTTCAAATACTAGAATGTTGATTGGGTCGGGTAAGAAGCCAGAGTACTTATGTGATTTTTAGCAGCAGGAGCTCAGGTAGACCATCTCTGGACCTCATTCCCCATCTCCACACAATATTTAACATTTAACATTAGCACTGTGGAGTTGGTGAACTGTGCCATCTGATCCTTCAGTTTTGTGCCTTTCTTTTGTTCACACACCATTACTTGTATATGTAAAGTTTAGCTCATGTTAAGGGTGGCTCAGAAATGACTACGAAACAGTGACTTTTTAAAAAATTCTCCCCAGGACTGAATGGATTGTATAAACCTCTAAAAAGTGAAGACATGTGTAAGGTATTTATAGAAGGGGTATTGTGCAAAACTGATTCTTTATCTTTCTACCAGGTTATAACATTGTTCCCTCATCAAAGTTATGCCTGAAGAGGTTTTAGATGTCAACCATGCATGTTTGAGTATTTTAGCGATCCCTCTTTGCGGTTAGTTCTTAGATTCTGTTAAACACATAAAACATGATACAAAACTGTATACAGCAACTTGACAAACCTCATGTGATTTGCAGTAGTTTTATTACTGGGAAAAAGTTAAACTTATTCATATTAATATATTGTTTTTGGCAAATATAGCATTTTGAAAACAATTAAAGGTAACCTGGTGATGTAAATATGTGATGTGTTAATACCCCATAGAAGTGTAATACTTGAATGATTACACTGTCATTTTCTGTTCTTATTTTTACCGACTGTTTTTGCTGAGTTTTTTTATTCTTTAGATTCTCACCTTATTTCAGTTAGCTCCACCATACATTGGCATTGCTGCCATCCTTGACTACAAATGCGTTCTATTCGGACTATAATGTTGTTTAAAAACCTCCAGAGAATCAGTGACTTGACTTGTTGATCACATGAACATTGAACATTTTACACAATTCAACCTACTTAATGTCATATTTTAAACTTTTCTCAACTTTTCCATTGAAATGAATGTGACTGTGCTAAACTGGAAGATGGAAAGCATGGTTTAGTAGCATTTAGAGGCAAACGTGGGTGGGGCCCGAAAAAGGCAAATAGACTACATACTCACTAGTGAAATGTGAGTATAATCCAAGATTTGATCCATCTCCTTCCTCTCTCTAGTGTCCTTTACTTTTTTTGAGCAGTGCAGCATACGGTTTTATATGAATTCATGTTTTTTACTCCACAGCCATAAAACAGATACTCAGGTTTTCCAGTGAATTCTGTCTAGATATACGTTTTTGTTTTTTTTTTGTGGAACTTTCTCTTGACAGCACTGTGACAGTCTCTCCTGTGATGCTTCAGTAATCCAGTCTCATGAGGGTTTTTCTGTTTAAACATCACCATGGCATTGCCAGTATATACTGTATTCTAGTGATGGGTGATCTGATATTATGGAAAGTATCACAATAACAATTCGACACAGATACCATTGAGTCTTTTATTCAAATGCATTGAAACAGTTATCCTGCTTTACCTGATCCATGAATTAAAGGCCTGTGTTATGCTATTTTCTAGTTTCCTCCTCATAAATATACCTGGAGTTGTTTTGTTTCATTCTGCATATTTAGGCTGAGTTCTTCTCTCAAACTGAAAACACCACCTTGTGATGTAAATGTAAAAGGAGCTGTTAACTTGAAAACTATCTCTTCATGACATCATAAGGTGGAACAGAGCATTTTGAACTAAAACAACAACAAAAAATTGACATGTAGCGTTAACAATGAGAGTGGATACTTTTCCATAGGTTGGTGTTGATCCGCCCATCACTACTGTATAGTGCTGTGATGCTTCATGCACACTTCAAACTTGGATTGTTTACTACATCTTACTGCAAATTCCTCATTTAAACCCATTCCAAGTAGCCTGTTTACTAAAGATGTCTGTTCCAAAAGCATCCTGAGCTCTCTGGATGTTTCTGTTCAGCTTATTAAATGTAACAACACATTCAAGACTCTCATTATTATTATTATTATTATTATTATTTTATTTTATTGTTTTTGTTTTTGCATATCTTTTTTTCTTCCAGATGCTCCTTTTCTGCCCTTTCAGGCTTGTGGAGTCAGTTCCCCTTGTTGTCACTCTTCTGACAGCTAAAGTTTGACGGTTTTAATGTTGGTGAAACTGTAATGTAACTGCTGTTTGTTTAGTTTTTGAACATAGGTTTAAGAGAATTCAGATTAAGGTGAGAGGAAATGATGTCCTGTTCACAGTAGCCTCTGTAAAAGCTACTGCAGCTGTTCTCAAAGGGACGCTGTGATTGTTTTATAGAATTATGTGCTGAATGAGCTGTGCACTTTGAATTCAAATCACACTATTTATGTCAGGTTCTCTGTCAAACAAGTGAATACTTTTTGTTTTGAATGAAGTTCATGTCTTGAACAAAAAGTAATAAAGTATATTTTTTTCCTGCGTTTGAGGAAAATTATTTCTGAAACTTCCATCGTTACACCATATAAGCTCCATTAGGTAAATAATTCAAAGATTTTTGTGAGTTGCTGTGTGTGAAACAGTTGACAGTTGTCATATTGTGGAATATTTTTGGCAAAGCAATAGCATCTCCATGAAGGCAGAAAACCCGTCACCAGTAAAGTTACATAGTACGACTTATTATTATTATTATTATTATTATTATTATCATTATAAGTAGCAGTTGTAGTAGTAGTAGTGTAAGTAGGAGCCTGTTATTTCTGTTTACTGCAGTGGGTAGACGGGGCGTAACAGGGCAGACGAGTCCAGTGACACAAATCATTGGATTCACACAGCAGAGTTTATTTACAAAGTGCTTTATCTGTTTCCTCTGCCACATGTGGACTCAGGCTGCGTCAGTGTGCTGCACAATCACACACTCACCACCAGATGGAACTAACCTCTCACTGATCAATGAACAGTTTAACATAAACAACATTTGTGTGGCACCATGGATCTGTGCTCTCTCTGGAGTAAATCAGGCAAAACAATTGGCATTTCAGGCACACACAAGTGTGGTTCTACAGACCTCTTCATAAAACACTGAGCAGGTCAAACAGTCTTAAATAAATAGTTTGGCTGTAGACAAGTCTACCCACACTAGTGTGTGTTATTTCCTTCACAGGTCCTCTGCTGCTGTCCCCCGACAGGACATATCCCTGGAACAGTCTCCAGAGCTCTGGGTCCCATCTGGCCAGACTGAGGTGGAGTGTTGTGGACTCTCTTCTGGGCTCTGCCCTTAACTGCTCCAGTCGTGCTCTTTAGCCCTGTTTTTGAATGTGACTGTGTACGGCTTGAGTGGGTCTCATCTCTCATGGAAGCTGGGGCTGTGGATAATCTGAGAGAGCCTTCCAAACGAGTCCATGTGCTCCAATGGCTCCTGAGGTTGTGTGGTGGGAGGCAGGGCAGCTGGGGGGAAGCGCAGTTGAGTGAGCAGCTCCAGAGAGCTGACCCGGGGCAGAAACTGTGCCAGAGCTGGCGCTCCTCTGTCCCGCCCCCTGTGCCTCTGGCGCTGGGTGCCCAGGCTGAGCAGGAGCCCGTGTGCGTCAGACGAGTACGCGCTGTATCCGTCAGCCAGCACCTGCTCCCTGAAGGAGCAGTCCTCCCTCGTGTAGGCGCTCTGCAGGACATAGCACACCATGAGAAGTCATTAACCCTTAGAAACCTGATCACTTTTCTTTTCATCTATACTTTATCCTTCATTCACTCCTGCTTTTATCCTGTTGCTCCTGTAGTCGTGGAGTGTACACTTAACCACAAACAATCTCATGCCAAAGTGATATGTTTGGATGAATAGGGAAAGCAGAGTGCACAGAGCAAAAACACCCACACACAGGGAGAACATGCAAACTCCACACAGAAAGACTGGCAGTCAAACCAGGTACCTTGCAGTGAGATGTCAGTACAGCCACTCATGCAGCCTGTCTTTCTCCATATAAAATATCATATATGTGCAATTGTGCATGTATGTTAAGTCATTGACCAGCCCACAGCCGAACTTTCTGTTTGTGTTGTGCACATCCGCTCGGGGCCACATGTTCCCCAGGGCCTGTTTGTGTTGGCGCGTACTAGGGGCCAAGGCTGCTGTGGCTCTGCTCCTCATTCAGCTTTTGGGCTGGGTAAATACCTGCTCCACTGGACAAAGGTTGATGAACCCAGAGTTTGAGTGCTGCCTGTTTTCACTGCAGCAGCACTGTAATGAGACTGTCTGAATGTGGGGCTTTCACAGAGGCAGGGCCTCTGAAATAAACATGTCTACACTATATGTGTATTTATGTCAATATATCACTTTTGTGTTCTCCGCCAGAAACATTTAAAAACTCAGTTTATTTGATAAAGGCTTTAAAATTCAAAACATGTATGCAAGGTACACTGTTGAAAATAGATTTCAAATTCAGCTGGTTAAACAGGTGTCTGGTACCTGTTGAACTTTTTGATATTCAAGACCAACAACCTTGAAATTTCTGCCATCACAGCTGGTGACACTTTCAAGATTCACTTTAATTGGACACAACAATAAATCAGTTATTTATTGTTGTGTCCAATTAAAGTAAATCTGAAAGTAAAAACAATAAATAACTGATTTATTGTTTATTATAATAATAGATTACAAATTATTTTTGTAGCATTGTAATAAATAATTTGTTTTTGTGTCTGTTAACAATAAATGAATTACATCTGGAAATGTGGCTTTTTTTTAAGGAAAAAAAAAGTTCTGAATTTTTTTTAAATTCAGAAGCAGTTCTTTTGTAGAGTGAGGTCTGAGCTGTGCATAAACATATACAACTCTAGAATGTTAAAAAAAAAAAAAAAAAAAACTGTCCTTATGTTTTTCTAATGCAGAAAGCATTAAGCACACATGATCAGTGAGAGGAAGAAACAAAGAGGGGAAAGAAATGCAGAAAAAACTGACGTAAACTGGATGTCATTTTCTTATAAAAGCAGTACATGACTTTGTTAAACAAAGTCTAGACTCCTGTCATCTACTGTAAATCCCTGTACTTGAGCTGGACAGGTGTCCATCAACACACGTCAGATCCAGAGAGTGAAACTGAGACAGGGCCCAGATGACAGGAGCGCCCCTGTGCTCGCACAGCGGACTGCTCCATGTCAGCTGTAGAATGGATTATAACATGCTTTTCATGCTGTATTCATCTGAGTGGTTGTCCATGTCTGCAGAGCACTGCTCTGTAGAACTGCTCCTCCTGGACGTGCAGGACACAGTTTAAACCTGAGGAGACAGGATGCTCTTCTGGACACAGTTTAAACCTGAGGAGACAGGACACTCTTCTGGACACAGTTTAAACCAGATGAGATCCTGGTGCTGCCACAGACTGTGCAACCAGTGCATCTTTACACTGTATGCACAATTATTAGGCACGACAGTATTCTGACCATATCATAATTTTTATGCATATTTTCCAACTCCAAACTGCATAAACTTGAATCCTTATTGGATTTGAGCATATCAAGTGATGTATATTTATCTAACGAGGGAGGGTGTGGCTTAAGGACAGCAACACTCTATATCAAGATGTGCAGCTTTTAGCATTAGGCAGCTTCTGTTCCTCAGACAAAATGGGTCAAAAAAGAGATTTAACTGACTCTGAAAAGTCAGAGGGATGCAGCACTTTTGAAATGACAAAGATATTGGGGCGTGATCACAGAACCATCAAGCAAAACAAACGAACAGTCAACAAGAAGAGTGTTGAAAAAAAAAAAAAAGAGTCAGAATCAAACTTGAAGCTACCAGGAACCATTATTCTCCAGAACTGTCATATTCCAGAAGTGCAACCTACCTGGAGTTCCCAGAAGTACAAGGTGTTCAGTGCTCGGAGACATGGTCAAAGTATGGAGGACTGAAACCCAACCACCACTGAACAAGAAACATGATCTGAAACGCCAAGACTGGACCAAGAAATATCTGCAGATTTTTCAAAGGTTTTATGGGCTGATGAGATGACAGTGACTGCACATTAATAGTTGTCCAAAGTTGTTGTATAGATTTTCTCCTAAGAAAGCCAAAACTTCACTTTTACTTTCTTAAGTGTTCAGGTTTGAGATTTATTAACATTTTGGATTGACCCAGAGCACTGTAGTTGTTCAATTATAAAATGAATCCTCATAAATACAACTTGCCCAATAACACAGCACACAGTTTAATAAGATTTTGGAATTTGACTTTCATAAAATGATAGAGAATATAATAGATAATAGAGAATGTGTCTAACCCTCTCATGTGGATGTCATGCTGGTTAGCCCAGTGGTACCAGTGTTAAACATCTACTCAAGTCATCTGAATCAGACGCACCAAAACACAGTTATAATCTATGTTATGATTATTCATTATTTTGTGAACCATAGACATTTATCTGAAAACTTAAATTGTGATTTTGTACTTTTATTCCAGTTTCATAATATCTCAACTTCAAAAAAATAGTTTTAAAATGTATACTATAAAAGACATTTCTGTGATTAATTAAGACAAATTGGCTGTAGGTTTCAGTGCCCTTTACTACAGACCCACATAAGCTCAAGAGTCAAGTCTATTAAAAAAAAAACAAAAAAACAATTACTAAAACACCCAACAACAACTGGTCAATAAGGCTGACAGAGTTGACAAAAGTGAATGTTTTGTCATTGTTGAAGTTGTTCTTAGTTCTTTTTTTGTTCCATATGTGAGCTGCTATGATGAATATCAGACCTTCGTCGACTCTTCATTTGGAATTACAAAATAAATATATTTATAATTTTTCCTCATGCATGAACTAAAGCTGCATTGCTTTTATTTTAGAGGTGTTTTTTTATGACGTGTGTGTGTGTGTGTGTGTGTGTGTGTGGGGGGGGGGGGGGGTAAGGCATTTTCATTGCTTAGTCATAACATAAACTGTTCCCAGTCTGACCAGCACATCAGAACAATCCTATTTACTGCTTTAAATAAAGAAATACAATTAATATTATGCAGAACTGAGTTAAGCATTTTGGCATCCACAATATTTTGTGTTTCTCAGGGGCATTGTGGAAAAAAAAAGAAATGCGCACCTCTGGCTTAGGGTCACTCCAGCACTGTTTAAATAAATGGATCAGAATGGACTGACGGAGCTGACACTTTCCAGCTGTGACGGCAGAAATTTCACCATTGTTGGTCTTAAATATCAAAAAGTTAAAAAGTTACCAGACTGTAGAGTTCAGTGGAGTAAGGGTAACAAAGCCCTCAGAGATGACTGATTCAATGAGGTTCATGAAATTGTCTGAAGGAGTTGACAGGGACGTTGCTTTGACAAGCTGAATTTAGAGGAAATATATTTTGTGTCCCTGAGGACGGAGACAAAAAAAAAAAGTTTAATTTACATTTTTGTCAATTTAACAAAGAGAAATGTCAAATATCTTCTCAAACAAAAAGCTCCTTTATACAGAGCGCCCTTTCTCGGTATGCCAGTGATGATATTTTGAAACTATTTTCTACAAATTGATGTGTTGTAGAGGAGTCTTTTCATACACATTTGTTTGAAAATAAAAAGTGAAAGGTTTGCAAAAAGGTGCGAGATGAACACTGACTCTTCTTTATGAGTGTGGAATGTTTATTTCTATTCTGTCTGTGCATTCACAGGGATACTGCTCAGTCCCAGTACTCAGTTACAAGGAGCAGTGTCCCTGTTCGTGCCCGCCTCACTGCTGTGTCATATGGCTGTGTGTGGGGCAGGAGGCTCGGCTCGGACCTCTGCGCGGCTAAATGAGCTGATGAGATTGGCTGAGGGCTGAGGAGGCGTGTGGAGCATCAGTGACCGTTTAGATTTAAAGGTTTAATAAACAGCCTAAATCTTTTTCTTTACAATAATCTTTAGCTTTTTTTTTTTTTATTAAATAAATAATCATGTTTTTTTATTCTAAAAAAATAAAAAATAAATGAAAATCTATTGTCCATCTGTGGCAGGCCTGTCATTCTCTCCCCCTAAAACACACTTTAAATGAAATGGTGTCGTTCATTGAGCTGAGCTGCTGTGGACCTGTCAGAGCGAGGATCATGTTTCACTTTGTTTACATTACATGTATATTATTTATGACGTATATTATTTATAGTATATGTATTTTGTACCGTGTGTGTTTCTCCTTAAGCACAGTGGACTAGCGCTACGTGTGACCAGGTTCACTAAAGACAAACTTATGTCCATTTAGGCCTGCAAATGTTACCACTTAAAAAAAAAAAAAAAAAAAAAAAAAAAAAAAGGAAAAGCAACTAGCCCACTTTTTTGTTTGTTTGTATGTTTGTTTGTTTGTTTTTCTGTGCTCTGCCTCAGGGGAGAGCCTGGTAAGAGCAGGCTCCTTACCGAAGTGTAGAGCGAGGCATCCTCACGCATGCACAAGAAGCGATCAGACTCGACTCCTCTGAGGGCCACACAGCCCGGGCTCACCGGAGTGATCTCCAGCAGACCTGCGGCGCACAGCCGAGACATGAGCACACACGAGCAGACACATGGGCGCGCATACGCACACATAGGTGGCCATGCACTTACTGTAGGGGCTCTGGTCCGCGGAGCCGTGCACGTGTCCGTCCGCGCTGATCAGCAGGTGCAGACCCGTCCTGGCCGCGTACAGGTGTCTGCGCCGCACCACCTGCGCCCAGCCGCGCGCCGCTTCCGCCCCGTGCTCCGCGAGAGGCGCGCACGCGACTCCAGTGCTCAGCAGAACACCCACTACGGCCACAATGTCTACGAGCAGAGGCATTATTGAAAATGAGCACGAAATACATCCAGTGATGACGTCTGTACCGTGCTCGCGCCGTACTGGAAAGTAACGTGGCCTTATCGCAAAGCTCCTTTTTAAATGACGCTCTTATCAGCTGCCGATAACCTCTTTCCAAGAGCCAATTCTCAGAAGCAGATCACAACACACCCCTGAACCACTGCCCACCGCGCGAGCCGCGCGCACTGCCAGGCCACAACGCGCGCACCTTTAAAAATGCACTATGTCACTTTTTTACTGGAGCTGGAGGCTTTGCCGCCTGCTTGTCTCTATGGAGATATTATTGCTTTGCCTGGGCTGCCCCACAGTATACCTCTAAACTCCATGGAGACAAGCACGTGATGCCCCCAGGGATTTTAGTAATAAAAACAAACCTGTAAATATATACTGTACATACATACATACATACATACATACACACCCGCACACACACATACACATACATACATATATGCATACATACATACATACATACATACATACATACATACATACATACAAACATACATACACAGACAAATAAGAAATATCTCAGTGGTGGTGAACTCCTCACCAGTAAAGTTCCATGGAGCATTTATAAATTCACTTTTATCTCAGCCTGTATATTTCACAAAGCAGTATCCCACTGAAACATCACACTTAAATCTTCTGTTGGTATTTTGGTGAGTTTTTTCCCTCTCGGCCCTGGTTCCCCAGCACTGACATAGAATGAACTCAATGAGTTCAGTCAGATCAATAGGAGAGATGGTCAGCAGGGCTAACACTAGGTCTGCTTCATTCAAAAAATAAAACCTACTGTGGGTGTGATTGGATTAGTTCAGAATGCACATTTTAAACAATTTTAGGAGAATTCACATTTGTATGAAGAATGAAGTTCAGACTAATACAAGAATCCAGTGCATTTCAGAAAAAGAAAAAAAAAAGTTCTTTGCAGACACCATTCTAATCCCTAAATAATTGCAGACTTTGTGATCTGATATTGCACCAACTCATAGTGATTTGGATTTGATAATGATTCACTGTGTAGCCATAACCCCACTCACTAAATGTCTCCACTTTAGTTGTATTCTCAATGTTCAGTGTTCTCTTCTCTCCCCTCACTCTATGCTGTGTATATTTCCCATCTAATGACCATGTGATCTGAACTGACAAATGACAAAGCAGGCCTCATGTAACCGTGTAACTGACACACGAACTGGGATTAAAGGGCCCATATTCCTCATCACACACATACCTGGAGTTTAACCCACAAACCCTGAATATTTAGGCTGAGTTTATTTAGGCCAGGGGTGTCCAAACTTTTTTCATCAAGTACCACACATCTAAACACAGATGAAGCAGAGGGCCGATCGAGGGCCATAGACTGGTGCTCAGTACAGTGAATAACTGAAATATGTGCATGTTTAACATGGTAGAATGAGCCATGAGTCTTTATTCATGCTAAGATCCTTAAAACCACAAACTAAATATTAAATATTAACTTTATCAAGGTAGATTTTATTTTTTATTTTTTTTTGCAGTAAAAAGTTAATTTTTAATTGATGCAAGGCAATTTGGTCCAATTCACCTAGAAGCCTGAGGGCCAAGAAAAAAATGGTCTGAGAGCCGCATTTGGCCCACGGGCCATAGTTTGGACATGCCTGATTTAGGCTCTTTAATAAAGGATTACTCAAATATGTGTAAATGAAAAAAGCACACAGTTCAGGTATGTTTTGTGGGGCTGGTAACAACATTAATAAAAACAGAGTTTAGAGTCAATTTTGTGTAATGTAAGACCTTTAAACCTGTATCTGAGGAGTGGTCTGTGGTGCAGTGCTGAAGAAAGTCTTTTTCTGTCTTGTAGCCTTCATGCTTTTTCACTTGTTACAGGGCAGGTTTTGTAGACACTTGGTGGTTACAAATCCAGCATCTGTCCTCATTGAAGCCTTGATTACTGTTAGCTTTTTTTTTTTTTTTTTTTTTTTTTTTTTAACAAGGGACCACAAGAGAGTACTTCACATGAAGAAGCTAATTCTTTTTTCTATTTTACTCAACTAAAAAGGTCTTAAAGTAGTCTGTAAAATGAACTTTTCTCTGCGTTGGACCATATTTCCACTTCTCATATTTACGGTGACATTAAACCCATTGGGCACCACATTTTTATAACGCAGGAGTTCCTTTTTCTTTTTTTTTTTTTATTGTTTCCTTTTATTTTATTTTTATCTTATTTTTTATTTTTATATACAAAATAAGATAATGATTTATGGGTGTCATAGATTATAACTATAGAGCAGATTAATCATACTGAAGTAAGAGTACCATTCAAGTAAAAGATAAAACTAAGCTGAGGGTTGTTGTAATTGACAGGACAAAATATCAAATGTAATTATTTTTAAGCTTAAAAGTAAGCAAAAACAAAAGCATGTGTTTTTTTTTTTTTTTTTTCTTATTTTGATTGTTTTGATTGCACTGCAAAGCTTAGAAAAAAGATCAGGTTTGTGGATTTGTATCTCCACAAACCTGACTCTTACTTGGCCTGGAGGAGGGCCTCCTCTTGCTAGTTTCCATGAAAACATTGTTCCTTTGGCATAACACTAAGTGTTACATGGAATATGGTTAAGTGTGATTTTCAACACAGTCTGGAAAAGACTGAACAGCATAATCTGCACAGGCGCGCGCGCGCGCACACACACACACACACACACACACACACACACACACACACACACACACACACACACACACACACACACACACACACACACGCACACACACACACACACACACACAGTTTCAGATCCACTCAGTCAGAATAAAATGGCATCTGTGCAAAACCTCTATAGATTTACTCACAGTGAGCAGAGTGACCAAAGCGAACAGCCAAACATGTGAAAACGATCTGCTTTGACAGGCCTTATTTGAGTTGTAGTTCAGTGATAACTTGCTTTTTTGCCAAGAGAACATGCACAGACAGACCAAACGCACACACCATCCGAAGGCGTTACATAAATCCTGAGTCAAATCGCAGACTTGTTATTTGTGCCCAGGTTAAAGTCTAGCAGTGCAGGGGTCTTGGCTGTCACACTGGGTCACTCCACACTAGTGTTAGCACACACTTGTTTCCGCTCTTATCACGCTGCGTTTCCGATGCTCCCTGGACTCAGTTAAAGTGTAATGGAGAGTAAACAGCTCATTCACATTTCCAAACCAGAAGGCTAACACAACAGGTGTTTTAGTGAGCTCCGTCTGTGAAGAGGAAGGAGAGGTACCAATGTCCACCCATCAGAGTAATTACAGCACAGTGGACACTAGATGGCAGCCAAGAACGTGATGTTCCCTTTGCCACTGGGGCATTAGGTGTTTTTCATAGGTCTTCTTATGTGGAAAGGTGGTGGAAGCCAAGCATTTGACTCACATTACCTCAAATAATATTACTTAAGTAGAAATACAAAGTAGTGGTTCAAGAAACTCTCAAGTAAAAGTAAAATAGAGTTTGAGAAAACTACTGTTCAAGTAAGGGACATAACAGCTGATTTATAATTTAAAGTTAATGTAATTGGAAGAATAAAGCTTTAAAGAATTAACAAAATTTGGTATTTTCAAAGGACAGACACAAACATTTTATTTTTAATTTATTTACTTATTTATTACATGAGACAAAGTATCTAACATATGTGAAGGAGCTGCAAGAAACACAAAAGTTCAAATCATTTCAACATAAAGCTTTTGTCACTTCAGACTTACTCAAAGTTGTATCACATTTTTTATTCAAGTAAGAGTACTATTAGCCAGGCTGGAGCCACCTGGTACCTCCACTCAATTTCATTTCTCTCCAACGAAATCAGGAATCAGAATACACTAGATGGTTTGCAAGAACCCCGGAAGTGCAAGTTCAGACACCAGTGAAGAGCCATAGATTCTGTGTTGTCAACGATTCCTGAAATTGAGGATTTAAAGCCGGTAAAGAGAATGTTTGGTGAATTTTATCAAGGGGAAACACGTTATTGTCCTTCTTCCTACGGTTTTGGAAAAAGCTTAATATACCAGTTAGCTCCGTTAGTGACACATTACATACATCACGACCGAATAGCAGTGATTGGTTAAATGACAAAAAGTACACACCTACTGTCGGGTGAACAAATTCTAACACTGTGAGGTCAGATGGTTTGTATGAAGTGAAACTGATGTATCAGGCTAGAGTACTGTTACATCAACAAACAAACAAACAAACAAAAAAGTATAAATAGTATGCTGATAGAAAAGTTCTCTGAAAAGTACATTTTATTTTAAAGGTTAATGTAACTGCTTATTTGGTTTAATTTTCACTGACAAAAAAAATAAAAAAAATAAATACATAGATAATTTTGATAAGTTGCATTGGAACATGATATCACTGTTCTAATGTGGTCATAGATTAAAACTGAGATGGAAGACAGAAGGTCAGAGCTCCATGGCAGATTTAAATATGGAAGTGAAACTTTGAAAACATGTTCATACTTTGTTTTTAAAACAATAAAAGGTAACATGGTGATCTAAATATGTTATGTGTTAACAGTTAATATGACATACTAGTCAAATACCTCCTCTTTTTTATCTCTGTAACTGCAGGAGCCAGAAACTGTCACAAACTCCAGAGGGAATGTCTCTTCTCATCACTAACCGAAACTACAGAGTGGCGTGAGGGAGGCTTTCCTGTTGTGTCTCCAGAGTTCACCTGGCTCCCCCTGGAGGCGGCTGTGATGCTGCAGGATACAGAGGACACAGAGGAGGAGCACTTTTGTCCTAAGGGTTGTCACTCACCTCACACTGCCCTGACATTGAATCTAATGACTCGACCTGAGCTGCAATGAGACTTTTGTTTGAGGTTTTCTATTATTATTGTAATTCACAGCTCTGTGTCCTTAAATTGCTGCTCAAGGGACAAATAAAGTGATTTTGATTTGATTGATCCATCATGAGGGTGTGTGCTGCTACTTTGAGAGTGGAGCATAGTTTGGATCTGGTCTAAATGACAAGCTCAGAGTACAAGTCAAATCTGTGTCAATGCAAATGCAGGAGAGCAGGGCCCTGGTGTTTTGCATGGGCCTGAATGAGGCGCTTAAAGGCTTTGCTCCAGTCAGCACTCAGCACCTGATGACACAGTACCCATCAAGTGTGTGTCTGCACTCACCAAAGCTCTGTGTGTGTGTGTGTGTGTGTGTGTGTCTGCACTCACCAAAGCTCTGTGTGTGTGTGTGTGTGTGTGTGTGTCTGCACTCACCAAAGCTCTGTGTGTGTGTGTGTGTGTGTGTGTGTGTGTGTCTGCACTCACCAAAGCTGTGTGTGTGTGTCTGCACTCATCAAAGCTCTGTGTGTGTGTGTGTGTGTGTGTCTGCACTCATCAAAGCTCTGTGTGTGGGTGTGTGTGTGTGTGTGTGGGGTGTGTGTGTGTGTGTGGGTGTGTGCGTGTGCGTGTGGGGTGTGTGTGTGTGTGCGTGTGTGTGTGTCTGCACTCACCAAAGCTGTGTGTGTGTGTGTGTGTGTGTGGGGGGTGTGTGTGTGTGTGTGTGTGTGTGGGTGTGTGCGTGTGTGTGTGGGGTGTGTGTGTGTGCGTGTGTGTGTGTGTCTGCACTCATCAAAGCTCTATGTGCGTGTGTGTGCGTGTGTGTGTCTGCACTCACCAAAGCTCTGTACTGTTTAATACTTAAAGCAGCTAAACAACACGGCACACATATGTTTTGGATGTATAACAATCTATAAAAAAACAAAACCATTATTTGCCAAATATAGGGTGACCAAACGTCCGTTTTTCCCCGGACATGTCCGTATTTTGCGTCCTGTCCGGGGCGTCCGTTTTTGTTTTGTTTTTTTTATAAAGTGATGCAAATGTTCGGGTTTTCAGTACCGTTCATTGGGGGCATTAAACTGAGCATCTCTAGTAGCGTCTGTGACTCAGAAGGAGCGAGCAAACACAAACAGTCGGTCAGTCTGCAACATACCGAAGCGCAAATGAACATTTAACAATGACTTGTACAAGAAATTCTCCGTTTTCCGTCCCGGTTGGGTTACAAGTGTGAGGCCATGTGCACAGGTTGGAGGTGAGAGTACAGTGTCCCTCGTTTATCGCGGGGGTTACGTTCTAAAAATAACCCACAATAGGTGAAATCCGTGAAGTAGTCAACCTTATATTTTACAATTATTCTATCTGTTTTAAGGCTGTAAAACCCCTCAGCACAAACTTTATACACTTTTCTCACAGGACAGGTGCAACCCTTTTTACTTCCTTCTTAAAACTTATTGCTGCTGTCATCATGTTATTTTCCTCTTTCTTTATGTAACGAACTGAAGATTAATTTATTCCGTAATGGAGCCCAACAGAGCAGAGTCCTGCACGTGTCCATTTTTGAGACCCCCAGTACAACACCGCACCTGCCCGTTAACCAGAGATTATATCAAACATTTGCACTGCCTACACCACAGACTGAACCAAGACTAAACCAGGACTAACCCAGGACTGATTCCAGGACTGAAGTGGAGGACTAATCCATGACTGAACTAGGCCTAAAACAGGACTAAATCAGGACTAGACCAGAACTGAAACAGGACTCACCGTCAGGACGGGCTTGGAGGTGACGCAGGAGAAAGGACCGGCTCAGCTCCGCATCTCACGGAGCAATTGCCCGATCGCGCTTTGCGGAAAAACTGCTCGACGGACTCTCTTAAGTCCAAGATTAGTCCTCGTTTAGACCTGGTTTAGTCCTGACCCACCAGTGTGTAATTACTACCTGCCTGTAATACACAATACGGTTCATACGCTGTGAAAAAAAAAAAAAAAAAAAGACCCCACCCCCAAGGTGTCCGGGTTTTCACAAACGGAAATATGGTCACCCTAGCCAAATCTGTCATATTTTGTATTCGTGTATATAACTGCATAAAGCTCTAAAATCTTACTTTGACATTTTTACACCAATGCAATGACTTTCTACAAGTTTTGTATCATCACCAACCAAAACAACAGAGTGGAGACAAGAGGCTAGAAGAGACTTTCCTGTTTGTCCCAGATGTGCTTCAAGTTCCTCTCGAGCACCAACAAGGTGATTTTGACTGACTGATATTGACATTGTTATATTACATGACCCATACGCTGTAGTTGGTGTAGAATTAGGTTGTATTCACACTTGCATCACACCACATTAAAACTGGGACTAATCTAGGACTAAACCCAAACCTAAACCCAGACTAGACCAGAACTAAACAATGAGTAGAACAGGATGAATACAATGTAAATGATGACATAACATATTTAGATCACCATGTTACCTTTTAATGTTTTGAAAATGTGATATTGACCAAAAACAATGTATTAACATGTTTTATAGGCTTCACTTTGGTTTTTGACATTCTGAGCCTGCCTTCCCTTTGCATCTTCACTAATAAAACTACTGCACATCGCATCGGGTTTGTGAACTTGTGTACATTTGTGTATCATGTTTTTAATGTTTATGGAGAGATATCCTGTGGGAGCATGGGTGACGGAAGTTTGGTTCGAATAGGACCTGGGATCGTTAAAATACTCAAGCATACACGGATGACACCTAAAAGTTTTTCAGGCATCTTTTTGATGAGGGAACAACATTATAACATGGTAGAAAGATTTTACATAATACTCCCTCTTTAACTTTACTTTATTTGTGAGACTGTTTCTTGTCTTCATGCTAGCTTTGTACCACTGAGTAATACAAAGGTTTGTGTAGAGTTTATGTTGAGCTCTGCTTGTCTTCAGGCTGTTGCATTGTTGTTGAGCTATTCTTTACAAAAGTCAATGAACTTGAAAAAAGAGAGAATAGATGCTTTTAATCTAAATGAACAATCATCTGACTGTAGCTGTTCTGTTCTGTTTCAGGTAGACACTGTGTTATGTCGTCACTAATTATCTAGTTTATTTCAACTCTTTTTGGATAGCAGTACTTGAACAATACATAGCTTTCCATGATGATGACTTTCTAATTCTGATTCTGGTACTTATTTCCACATATTCGTAGAGTCAAAATGTTCAGTGCTATTAAAAACACTTACTTTTTTGAGTACCATTACTACTTTACTGTACCTTAGTGGTACTGGTACTGCAATACCCAGACCTGTGGTTTGACAATACACTGAATAGTTTTCCATGAAGGACATGCCAAGCCCACTTGGATGCACTTGTTTTCGATGATCTCCCTTTGCTCCCCAGGCTAAATCACTCCTCCTTCACTCTGAAGGAGAAGTGATTTAGTGAGAGAGGAGGACTGAGGAGGAGTTATATATGCAAAAAGTATTAATCAAGAGTGATTATAAAGTTCATTCAAGTTCCAGTTCACATGTCTCCATACTTGGAAACTACACTCTTAAAGTCACAGTCTGTAAGTTTTTATGTAGCACTTTTCACAGACATTTTTTGTCACAAAGACGCTTTACAGAGCATTGCATTCAGCATTATCAATTCACTCTATACCTGGTGATGGTAAGCTACTGTTGTAGCCACAGCTGCCCTCGGGCAGACTGAAGCGCAGCTGCCATGCCAATCAGCGCCAACAGTCCCACCAAGCACCACCATCACTCACACACAGTGTGGGTGATGGTGTGACTAGACACTGGTGCACCAGTGCTAATTTCCACCTGTCAGGTTCATTGATTGATTGTATTTAACTGACCTTGACTATCAACTGTTCTGGAGACCTGGAGCATGTTTTGGGGAAACCGGAGCACCCGGAGGAAACCCATCTAGACACAGGGGGAAAATGAACACACAGAAATGCCCGGGCGACCCAGGGATCGAACCCAGAGCCTTCTTGCTGTGAGGCATGAGTGCTACCATGCTGCCACTGTCAAGGTAGTACAACAAACTGAATCAAAACAACAAACTGCAAACTTGAAATTTATTCATAATATTGAACTATACTCGCCATTCATTTCAAAGACTTCACTCATATGTTTTGTAATATCTGAATTTATTCTCAAAATATTGTATATTTTTACAGATAATGCTAAAAATGAGACCACCTTAACCTAATACAATACCATAATTATGAAAACACTTCACTATGTCTGGAATAATTCGGGGAGAATGCAGTAGAAAGTGCTTACTATATGAAATGTTTTTCCTCCGTTACCTTTGCGGTTAACAGAGGGAGAGAATAGGATAATTAATAAAAAATATGTAGAAACAGAATTCATTAGATTGCTGCAGGAAATGCTTTTAGAAAGTTTCATGATGAAATATAAAGTTTAACACATGTAAAACTTTAAAAAACATAATTTTTCGGTAACGGAGGGAAAATTAAAATTTTTTTAGACTTGTAAAACACAGGTTTTACCAGATACTAACATCTAATAGTTTAATAAGTATACTACCTAGAGATGTAGATAGTCAAAAATGAAGCTTGAAAGTTAACCTGAAGAGGATTTGCAGGTTTTTGAAATTTGGGAAGTAATTCTTGTTCAAGGCCTAAAAATTGTACCTGTGACATGGTCTGTTTAAAACGGATGTAACTTTAGAACCAAAAATGGTACAGAAAAAAGGTCAACAGTTTCATAAACTAGAGTACATATGTATCTGTTCAATACATTTTTATATCAGATGCATTAACTTGAATTTTTGGCTTTGCTGTTTACTTCTGCTTGACCGGGACCATATATATAAATATTGGTTCTTAAGGAAAATTTAATCATCTAAATAAATGGATGTATTTCATCATATCTTGTGTTATACGATCTTTGAATT